CACACTGAGTGCATGTGAACGGTCTCTCTCCAGTGTGGATCATCATGTGTTCATTAAGGTGTGATGATTGGCTGAAACTCTCCTCACACTGAGTGCATGAGAATGGTTTCTCTCCAGTGTGGGTCCTCATGTGTTTATTAAGGTTTAATGAGCTGCTGAAACTCCTCCCACAATGAGTGCATGTGTATGGTTTCTCCCCAGTGTGGACCCTCATGTGTTGATTTAGGTTTTGAAATCGGCTGAAACTCTTCCCACACTGAGTGCACGTGAATGGTTTCTCTCCAGTGTGGATCCTCACGTGTTTATCAAGGTTTGATGAGCTGCTGAAACTCTTCCCACACTGAGTGCATGTGAACGGTCTCTCTCCAGTGTGGATCTTCATGTGTTCATTAAGGTGAGATAATTGGCTGAAACTCTTCTCACACTGAGTGCATGTGAATGGTCTGTCTCCAGTGTGGATCCTCATGTGTACATTAAGGTTTGATGAGCTGCTGAAACTCCTCCCACACTGAGTGCATGTGTATGGTTTCTCCCCAGTGTGGATCCTCATGTGTTGATTTAGGTTTTGTAGTTGGCTGAAACTCTTCCCACACTGAGTGCATGTAAATGGTTTCTCTCCAATGTGGATCTTCATGTGTTGATTAAGGTATTGTAATCGACTTAAACTCTTCCCACACTGAGTGCATGTGAATGGTTTCTCTCCAGTGTGGATCTTCATGTGTCTATTAAGCAGATATAACTGGCTGAAACTCTTCTCACACTCTGTGCAGATGAAACTATTTTTGTTTTTCTTTCTCTTAATATCATCAGTCTGTAAATGATTTTTGTCCTCAACTTTGACATGATGTTCCTCCTCTTTAATCTCTTTATTCTCTTCAATTTGGTCTGAAATAAAACAAACATTTGTTTTTATAATGTCTAAAAAGCTGAAGTCAAAAGAAGAAGAAATGGAGCAATTCCAATAGGGCCTACGCACCATAGGTGCTCCACCCCTAACAATATTAATAATAATAATAATAATAATATTAACAGGGCTCGAAACTGTGAGGGTTTTGGTCACATATGCACCCGAAATTGTATCTGTTCACTTGAGGTCACAGTTTATTTATAAACTAATTTCTCATAATTGAGAATTAATGCTCATAATTGCTTGCGCCCGGTTCCGCATTATTCAATTTATTATTCAAGTTCCATAATCACAGCCAATTTCATTTTGAAGACCGCTTTGCTCCGTATCGGCCAGCTAATGCTACCACAACAACTACTTCAAAATACATCTCCAATTATAACTCTAACAACATCAAAACCTTCAACCAAAAACTGCCCAATACACCATTTCAGTAGATCACTCTAACCTAAAGCTGACACTCTGCACCGGTTATATCTCAGCTCCTGCAAACCCTCTCTTCGTACCATCTTTATAGCACTTTCCATTCAGCAGCTGGTTATTGTTTTGATCTTTATTGCCTTTAGGGGGGTTCTTCAACACGTTCTTTTGCTGTCCCAAGCTTATTAAGACATCTTGAGGAATTCTCGAGATCTACCTGAGCTCAAACACACAATTAGATCCTGGTGGGTACAACGTGATGCCTTTGAGTTTTCAGCATCAATTCATAAAAAGTCTTTCTTCGAAAACTGTTTTTACCCGTTACAGCGTTCACAGAGATACGCCACGTTGTGTTGCTGTAATTAAAGCAAGTGGAAGAAGAATTGTTTGAAGACACGGGTCATCAGTGTTATTTATAAATGTGCCATAACGATGGTTTTGTTTTCATTTCCCCGCTATGAGAGAGCAGCTGGCATGTGGTCATGTGTGGATTATAGAGGTCTGCAAACACGCAACAACAATACGTTTGTAGGGAACAAGTTTTACCCGAGAGCTTTTCATATACGGAAATGGTAAAATCCGAATTTGCTGCTCGTCTCCTTTTAATAAGAACACGGCTCCAGTTGATGTTGATTGTTCTGTCTCTACAGATTTGTTAAGTGTGTGATCAGGGTTATTTGTTTGATTATTCAGACGGCAAAGTTAGTTGGTATCGTCAGCAGTACTCTTTCAGTTTATAAAGACAGACCTTCATCATAATGATTTCGTTACTAAGTACTAACATACTAAGTATGTTAATATCACTACAATATTATGGACTGAAAGATCTGTAAATGCTGCTCTTCAAGTGTAAATATGTAGACACTTTAACCCTCAGGGGTCGAAGACAGAGTTTACGCGTTTTGAGGCGTCTTGTCCTAATAATGCCAAAACTAACTTACATTAAACTTTCAGTTTTGATCATACAGATATGATCAACACATCAATCAAATCTGTAAGACAACTAGGGTTGGGCGATGTCGACCAATTTGGCATCGTACGATGTCTAATGTGAAACATCGCGATGGACGATGGCATCGTCATCAAAGGCGGAGGTGAATTAATTATTTATGAATAATGAATTAATTCATAATGAATTTGTTACTTGTAGCCTACCGTTTCAACTAGCTGACCCGCATGCTCTTTGTTTTACACATCAACAAATCATCAATAAATAAAAGATAAGTCACACTCAAATTACCACCTGTCAATCACCTTTTACCGCAGGAGGTAAAAAAGGTGCACAACCAACAGTATCTGAGGTTTTCACTAAAATTACTAAGTACAAGTGTGAAAGAGAAAGACTGAAGCAGTGTGCTGACGCTGTGACACGTTACCTGATAGATTCAGAAGACGAAGAGTCGTTAGACAGAGACGAGATGAATTAAATATCACGTTAAACAACTATAGTGAGACGCCATCTAGCAGTACATCCTTGATAAACTGTCCGACGTGCACTGCTCTCTGGAGCTCAGACCGTGACAAGTGCATGACAGTGTAATTTCAGCGGACGGAGGGCTGTTCAGAAATGCTAGGTAAAACACGGTGTGGATGTGGATCATTTTCTTTCTAAAATGCCATTTTAACATTAAGACGTATTAGTCTAATACCTAAGTGTACGCCTAAGTGTGTATTTTTCGCGGGGCGGAGGATCGCCGATGCCGGCTCAGTAATGTCTACTGTTTTTGTGTACACTCACAATAACAACAAAGAGGTGTGCTTTTGCAAAATAAAGGTAATAAACAGTGTAGGCGTTCTCACTTTTCTCTTTCCGCAAACTGTTTTTGCACATGTGTTGGAAAATGCACAGAAACTTAGGGCTGGGCGATATGGGCAGAAAAAATAATATCCCAATATTTTTATGAGAAATGATGGTTTACAACATATATCCAGTCTTTTCCCGTAAATGGTTACTTGAGAGTTAGAGCCTTAAAAAAACTTTAAGCAGCTTTTGAGCAAAATATAATTCACAGGGGTTTCCCTCCCTGCTTACAAATAAACAGCTGCACAACGTTTTTGCTAAATAAAATACAGTACAGGTTTTTCTTCTGCTTAAAACTGTTGCACAACATTTCAAATTGTATGAAAATAATAATCATCTTTGATAAATAAACACATTACAGGGTTTTCTCCTTTGCTTAACATTATAGACAGCACTACTGTGCTGTTGTGCAAATAACAAAGTAAACAGAACCAGAGAAAACAGCTATATTGTCAGAGCAAAAAAAAGGACACACTTAAATAAAAACACAACACAAAGTCTTGTAGGATAGAAAAGAACCACATTGAATGCAAATACGAAACAAACAGTAATTTGTCGCAATTACACTGTTGTTGAATTACAGAAGTAATTCTGTATACCACAGTTGTGTGGTTTATAATTTAAATGAGCTGCATGTGTGTTTTAGTTACACATTTACATGTATCTACTGTGCACAATCATTGAACATCTTCAGATATCTCCGATATGTCTTTCACTCCATGTAAAAAAATCCTACACTTTTTCTTTTGTTTTGATTAGATTTTTCTAAACTTGTTTAACTAAATATTACATAAGGAGATGAAAGCGAATAGACAATAAGTATGGGAAGTAAGGAAATAGTTTCAGAGTGCTGTGATGAAATGCTGGTTAAGCATATAAGGCTGCATTTACTCAAGTGACTCAAGTGTCTGTTTGACAAGGCTTCTGTGTTCGTTATTGCTGTAAATTGTGGAGAAATGATGGATAAAAGGTTTCTGATAAACCGCTGTGACAGCTGCAGGCGCTGTGTGACGTGCTGCACGATTTGTCTGGGGAGTCAGATTTCGATACAACACCAGCACTGCATTGGCTGCGTCCGAAACCGCCTACTACTCAGTAGGTACTGCATTTGAATTTAAACGTACTACTCGGCCATTAGGACAGTACGTTCTATACAGTATGAATGTGAAAAGTATCAATGGAATTCGGACGTACTACATCCACCATTTTGACAGACACGTGACCTACCTGCATCAGTTGGGTTGCTTCCCTTCCATTCACAAATTCTCTTGCGGGGCATTATGGGATAGCGCAGCTTGCATGGGATGCGCACTTCAGAATCTCACCGGAAGTCATCCGGGTACTTCTCGCATACTGATTTCGAATTCTATGAATTCGGACACACTACTCGGCTCGCATACTGTAAAGTATAGAAGTATGCAGTTTCGGACGCAGCACATGCTCCTCCATGTCGCGTCAGTAATGGGTCGTTCTTGATCGATTCCTTCATTTTTAACAAATCTATTGTCTTCATACTTTTAAATGCAGCGAGTGCATGTTGAAAACAAACATTGTTTGATAAAGTAATCAGTATGAAACCAATTTTTCAGTCTGAACTCATTAGTGTTAATGTGGCCAGGCCCACGAGGCTTTGTTATTACAAAGTGAGACGTGCGCGGAATCTCCACAAGCACATGAGAGATACACATGAGAGACATACCTGCATAAAGCTTGGAAGGTGCACTTTCCAACTCATTTTAAAAACAAATGTTGTAATGTTTTGACAGAACTTAAACCCAAAAGTTTCGGGGCTATTGAAAAAAAACATTCGGGGCTGAAGCCCAACAACCTCCCCCTCCCCCGCTACACCGCTGATCAGGAATAAACACCAACCTATTTGTTGTTCAGTGTCTTCATGTTTAATTCTGCAGGGTTCTGGATCACTCATGTTCTCGCTGTCCTTCAATAAACTCTTCACTGGAGCCTGATGGGAATATCACAGTGTTTACAGCTGAACTGGAGGAGGAGGAGCTTCACTGGAGGAGGAGGAGCTTCACTGGAGGAGGAGACAATTATTCTAATTAACATTCTGTTCACTTATATTTATATTTTATTGCTATATCAGCAGCACTGGCTATATTCATGACGACACTTGTATTAAATATTCAATATATAATTGATGATCATAACTGTTTCTGAAACATCATTAATTGGTTAAAAACACACAAATAACAGCAACACTGATAAAGTCTTATAAGCTCTTTCAGTCTGATCAATGATCAATATTGTAAAATTCCTCCAGAAAACACATTTTTAAACATTTGCCTTCAAATATTTCCTGAATAAAAACATTCTCTAATATCATTTACAAATATACACTCTATTAAAATATGTTTCACCATCAAAATATTCTCACACAAGTTACACATAGGTTTCTCTTCCCTGTTCAGTAAATATGTGTGTAAGTGTTGAGTGGCCGATTCTACATCTCATGTGTGCAGCGTGATCATGTCTCTGATTGCCTACAGTTATCTCTCAATACTGTAATACATTCATTATTAAGTGTTTTATACTATTATACTAATCCCACATTCTGTTTCACTGCTAAATCAGACTTTTGCGTTTCTTCAGAGGTTTACACAAGCATAATTTAAGTTCAAAAGATCAACATTAAACGAGCACTTAGTGAATAAATGAGATGAAGACACAAATGAAAGGTGCCCAGATACAGGGTTTCTGTTAAATTTAAGATGTTTTAAGACCATTATGAATGAAATTTTAAACTCATAAAGGGCTAAAGGCTAATGAATTGTTGGAATGGCCCAGATGGAAAAGATTTTTATTTGCCCTTTCCAAAAAAAGTATTATAATTTAATAATACAATAATACATTAATAATAAAAGTTTTATATTTTATTTCTTAACTAAATATTTAAATATTGTGTAAAAACAAGCAAGCTCTACTTGTGTCCATACACTTTTTCCGAACATAAACTTTCTTTAAAATAAAACTGAACAAATGTTTTAGAAGTTTAAAAAACTAATAATAAGCTAAATATTTGCACAACAATCTGTCCAAGTCGGTGTCTTCAGCAGTAAATACATGGAGAACTTTTACACAGATGTTACTGTAAGGAAAATAATTAAACCATTATGATAAATAGTTAAAATGACCTTTTTAATAAAAAGTGTAAAGTTTTATTGAGATGATTGTTGGTGATTGTTTGGGTTTTGGCCAGATTTGGTAGCAATACATGAACAAAGGAAAATTAAGACCTGTTTAATTAAATATTTAACACCTACAACACAATATTTCACTACATTTAAGACTTTTTAAAGCCAAAATTTTGGATTTTGAGATTTAAGACATGTTAAGACCCTGCAGAAACCCTGCAGATAACCCGTGAGTAACGCATTACAGAAGTGTTTACAGCCTAGCATCGAGCTAAAAACAAGAGACTATATTAGCATTGAGCACATATGTTAAAGCAGTTCAACCCGCAAGATAATTGCAGCAAATCTGCGAACGCTACAAAGGTCAGATATAATACACTTACTTTGAATAGACGCACAACACCCGAAACAGAAGTGGAGTTAAAGCAATTCATCAGCAAACAGCAAAGCTCTGCACTCTCCGCCTCACACTGAGCGCCGTGGGCGGGAGATTTGCCTCTACGCTGATCAAAGAAAGCCGATTGGCTGCCTGTTGGCGTTTAGCGAAAGCCGATTGGCTGCCTCTAGATGCTCAGTGAAAGCTGATTGGCTGCTTGTTGTCTGCCGACAACAGAGGGAAATTAGTGGTCAGATTTACTTCTTTTAAGGTTTTGTTAATTGCAGAACAGAGCCTGTACATAATATATATATATATATATATATATACACACACACACACACATTTTAATCTTATTAACTAAATTTTAAATATATGAATGTAAATTTACAACCCAGCAGTGTTAAGTTACTTTAATAAAAGTAATGGTTTACTGATGACTACTGGAAAACTGTAATCTGTTTACATTACTAATGACTTCATGTAAAAAGAGATCAGATTTCTAATTACTTTACTATGAAGTTACTTTTAAAACATCTAAAATATACCTAAAAATACTAAATCACCTGCAGCTCTATCAGTAATGTAATATTCACTGAGAAACATTACAGTGGGTTCATCACAGCAGCTCGACGTGTTCAAAAGACTTACAGAGTTCCCCCAAAACTTAACATTCTCTCTTCATTCCCTTGTGCTAAACCCATTTCCCCTTTTAAACCCAAAAGAAGACATGAAGAGAACTGGACACCTGTAACCACTGACATCCACAGTATGCAGAAGCACTGCAGTGTTTGTCTGAGGTAAGTAGTCTACTGAATTGTCTATATTCCATATAAAGCATGAAGCTGACCGGTCAGTTCTTGTCGTGTGGCTCGTGGTTTTCAACTGATGTGCCTGGAAACTATTTAGTCAAACTAAGCTGCGGTCACACTGGACTTTTCTCCCTATAGTCTTCCATTCATACGCACGCGGATACGTCAGACTGGAAACGCAAGTTTGTTCAAGCTTAGTGATATCTGAAATCACATCACATGACTGTGTGTGACCAATTGAGGATCAAAACATGACCTCTCTGCCAGAAATGTAAAATATGGACCGATCGCTCGCTTTTTCAATGTCTAATCATCTCGTTTAACTCTTTTTCGCAGTGCCGTGCAACAAAATTTCCCAATCACCACACTTATACAATATCCAGGAGAATAATAACATACGCTGCCATGTCATCGCTGCAATCAAATCTCCGTCTTCTTTTGCAGTAATCCACGTCTTTACTGGCGTTTCGGTGGGACGAACAACAGTAGCGTGACCATCGAGATGCGCAGCAGTGGCGAATGTTTGTTGATAGTAAGTTTGTCCACAGAACAGGAGAAATGCAACCCTGCGACAAAACTAGACGGTTATTATTGTTATTGTGGAGCACCGTTTACCCCTTACAAAAATAAATAAATAAATAATAACAGTGTAGACGATGCGTCCACGCTTCTGTATGCTCTCATCTGTTATTTCATGAAGTCTGGAAGAAATCCACATGGGGGAAATAAACTAGCAGTTAATGATAAACAGGTTTTTGGAGCACATAGTAAAGCATAATGTGTCCAACTCTTACAAACGCTTCATTAATGATTGCGCTGGTGTATAATAACTGAAGCCTACTGAATAATTTGTTTATTACTTCAGTTGTGTTGTACCACAGCAACAATAAAAAAAGAACAGGGAAGTTTCTCGCTAGGCGGTTAATAGGAGGTTCTGAGTGTATGCTAAGGTGTTGCTAAGTGGTTGCTAGGGTGTTATGAATGGTTGCTAAGGTGTTACTAGGCGGTTACTAGGGTGTTCTGGATGGTTGCTAGGCGGTTGATAAGGCATAGCTAGGTGGTTGCTCGGGTTTTCTGAGTGGTTGCTAAGGTGTTGCAAGGCGGCTACTAAGATGTTCTAGGTCGTTGCTAGGCGGTTGCTAAGGTGTTCTAGGAGGTGACTAAGATGTTACTTGGTGGTTGCTAGGGTGTTCTGAGTGGTCACTAAAGTGTTGCTAAGTGGTTGCTAAGGCATTACTAAGGTGTTCTGAGTGATTGGTAAAGTGTTGCTAGGCCGTTGCTAAGGGGTTCTAGGTTGTTGCTAAGGTTTTGCAGAGGGTGTTCTAAATGGTTGCTAAGGTGTTGCTAAGTGGGGGCTAGAGGCATTGCTAGGGTGTTCTAAGTGGTTGCTAAGGTGTTGCTAGGCGCCTGCTAAGATGTTCTAGGTCGATGCTAATGTGTTGTTAGGCGTTTGCTGAGGTGTTCTAGGTTGTTGCTAGGGTGTTCTGAGTGGTTGCTAAGGCATTGATTGGCGGATGCTAAGCTCTGTTGCGCGGCTGAAATATGAACTGCATCCTGAATCGTGGCTGGGCGGCGCCGGTGTGTGTAAAGAAACTTGTTTATAATTCTAAAATCCATGGCGTATTTGTATAAAAAACAGATAAATAAAAAAATTGCGATTTCTTGTTTTAATATGAAATTAAATCGTTGTCAAAACGTAAATTCGAATTAATTGAAAAAAATAAAAAAAAATCACAGCATCTCGATCAGTTTCAGGTCTGGATTTTGACTTTATGCCAGATGTAACGGGATGCACACCTTCCAAAAGGTTCCAATTTACCTGCTTTCTTGATTAAGCAGGTCTGGCGACAATCAGGTCTGGATGTGGCAAATGAAATTTTACTCGACTTTCAAAATGACGTGGTTCTTTCATGATTTAACAGGACGCAATTGACTAACACAAGGTGAGGTAGCAGAATAAGAGTGTGCTTGCACATAAGATTTCTGCGCTGAATGTAATTTCTCTGATGTTGGCAATGGAATGCCGGCGGTGCAGCCGTCTGTTTTATACTCGGCACAAAGCACGCTCAGTGTTTTTAAAAGCTTTGACAGTGAAAGCGCTCACAGTTAAGCATTACTAGAACAGCGCTAACATTTCTGCAACGCAAAAAAATGCTTCGGTGGACACATGCCCTGAAGCAGACAGGTTTATCAGCAGCTGTTGTAGAAGACTGAAGGCCTTTATTCTGCAAAACAATGACCTGGATATACCTTATACAGATTATTACATGGCTACCTGCCACAAAACATTAAACACTAAACACCGCTCTAAACACAGTGTAATATCTTTACTTAAAGGCAAAGCTAACAGAAACCAACATTTCTGAATGGAGCGCATGCTAACCTACATATTATTCAGACACAAGATGGAGCCACAGTTAAAACAGCAGCTTGACAGATGTGAATGTGTTATATTGATGTGATCAGTGACTGTTAGTTTCTGTGGTTGTTATCTGGGATTATTACACGGCTGTCTGGAATACTTGATTCTGATTGGTCAGTCGCCTGGCAGGAATGGCCTCCCTGAATGGTGTTCTGCTGGACTTTTGTGCTAGTTTGTCTATAGGATCCACCCTTTGTAGCTCAAGTCTCTGGATCTTATAGGGCTTTCCTGTCTAACATGCTTCTACATTGATTTAGGGGACAGTACCTCTAG